CAAGCCAGTGGTGCTTGTTACTCTTGGAGGTTGCCACCTCCTAGATGACTTGGTGGTGGTCTCCGTCGAAGCTCACAAGAAACTTGTGCGGGGCTCCGGAGAAGAGATTTGTGAGGGGCATTGTGCTTGCCCCGTGGGAGCCACGAAGAGCAACTCTAGTAGAACGTGTCATTGAGCTACCCTCACTTTCGGGGTAGGTTCTTGTGGTGCCCGACGTGCGGGCTTGACGGGTGATGCCAATTAGCCGCCGAACCACCAAGTGAGCGGTCAACACAACGGGGACTAGTGTGTTGGCAAGCACGTGAACCTCGGGAGAAAAATCACCGTGTCAACTTTGTTTTTCCAGTTGGTTTGCAATCTTCTTGCAGAAGCTTGTAATTACTTTCACATACATTGTGCTTGTATAGTTGCTCTTATAATTAGTTAGCTTGTGTAGCTCACTAGTTACATTCTTGCTTGTGTAGCATAAGAAGTAGCTTCCTTGCGTGGCTAATTTGGTTTGTGTAACCTTGTTAGTCACATCGCTTAGTTTGTGTAGCTAAGTAATTTGCACTCTCTAATTTGGCATTGGTTGTCTTGTTATTAAGCATTGATAGTAAGCTTAGGAGCTTTATGCTTTTGCTTACTAGAATTGTGTAGGAGCTCCCCGGTGTGTAAAGTACTAGTGGCATAGGTTTGTGTGACCTTGCTTCTAAAATTATTTAGGTGAGCTCTAGCTAGCCCGGCACCTTAATTGCTTAATTAGGATTTTTATAAGGTGTTTGTGAACTTCGATAGAGGGGTGTAGTCTTGGCTAGACCGATTGTTTTAATTCTGCATTTATTTCGGTTAGCCGGCGCGATTAAATTTTAGAAACGACTATTCACCCCCTCTAGTCGCACTGGTAGAGAACAGAGCTTTACTCCTGATGGGGAACCCCCTCTAGTCCCGGTTCCCCACCCGGGAGTAAGCATCCGGAACTAAAGGGGGTCCTTTAGTCCCGGGTCAGGACCTTTAGTCCCGGTGGGTAACATCAACCGGGACTAAAGGTCCTCTCAGCTTTAAAAAAATAATGCCTCCCACCGCTGCTTTCCGTGAGATTCGAACCCAAGACCCCATGCATTGCCTCGCGCGTAGCTTACCACCCCACCTACACAACACATCTGACAATGGATGGGATGCTTCCCTTTTGAACTAACCTATCGGGGGACCTTTAGTCCCGGTTGGTGTTACCAACCGGGACTACAGGTTGAGGACTTTTAGTCCCGGTTGGTGGCTCCAACCAGGAGTAAAGGTCCACCTTTAGTCCCGGTTGGTGTCTCCAACCGGGACTAAAGGTCCTCGCCACCTGCAATGCGAGCCTTGAGAGCCGTTAAGCAGGGACCTTTAGTCTCGGTTGGAGACCGGTTGGAGACACCAACCGGGACTAAAAAGTCTCTCTAGTCCCGGGCACAAAAATGCGGGACTAGAGCCCATTTTAACATCGGATGAAAGGTCTGTTCTCTACTAGTGTCGCCATCTCGACCCTACACCTCCCACCGTCCGCACTGTCTAGTCGGCCTGCCTCTCCCAAGCCTCTTATAAGCCCGCTTGAGATGGAGAAGAAGAGAGGATGAGGAAGAGAGAAGAGAAAACTCGAGTGTTCCAACACTCTTAATTAGGGTTAGGGATTTGATGGGATTTTAATTTCTTGGGTCCAATTTGCGAAAAAAACTTTTGCTAGGGTTTCTGATTTGGGGAAGAACGGGCTTAGGGTTGCAAAATGATTCGATTCCCCTCCTTCTATGTGTTAAAATTGAAACCCTAGCTTCTGATTTTGGCTTAAAGAACCTTAAAATCGGTCAAATCCGAGGCTAATTAGATTTTAACCGAACACTTAATTAGGTATTAGGGTTCAAGAATTGGGCTAAATGGGTTTGATACCAATTGTTATATCTTTTTGCTTATGCATGACCTAATTAGCCTAATTACAAGAACACCTAAGCCTCAATTAATACATGATTAGACTTACCCGATTAGAGAGACCTTCTGGATCCTAGCGAAGACCCATGCCTGCTTGGAGAGGAAGCAGGCGAGGAGATGAGTGACCTAGAGGTAGAAGAGGACACCGGCATAGGGGTGGCCGGTGGTCGGCGTCGGCCTTCAGAGACACTCCCGAGAGCCACCTTGATCGGTAGGTGTTAGGTTTTCCTTAGACTGATTCAGCACCAGGGACGTGGTCCCTCTTTATCTCTTATTCTCGGGGTACTCTGGACCGGGCCGTTAGGAGATGGTGCATGCCCCCGATCATGGCTCTGTCCTGGCCGTTAGGCCCCCTTAGGACTCGGTCAAAGTTGACCAAGCCAAGATCAATCCAACAGTAATAGCATACTCAAGAAACCGAGAAAAGGCATGCAAAGGGAGCTGCATGCACACCACTGCTACGGCTGCACACCACCTCTCATTTCATCTCCACATACATATATATTGTATAATCAGTTTAGCTCAGTTCAGGATCCTTGGTGATTCTCTGCTGCCCGTGTGCAGCTTCTGTCCGAGCAAATTAAAACTTGATGCTCGAATTAGTTACACACGCGCACATGCTTATATAAACACATGTGTGCCTCAACGTACTCCGGGTACGTGTGCTGTGTATGATCGCACGGAAAATAGAATGTGGGCTTCGTCATGGCAGCATGCATGTGCGAATGACACCTCGATCTCCGACGTATGCTCTTTCAATTCGCCACATACAGTACTTGCGCCCTGTCTTCTCCGGTGTTCGCAGCCACGAGCTGAAACTGCTTTAATTTCCCAGGCACACCGGATTGCAGAAACTAAACATGCCTGCCTGCCTGCCGAATATAATATCGCTAACTAAAAAAAAGACGTAACCAGTGCAGAGAGCTCCCGCTCTGTAAGAGATCTAGAAAATAATGTCAGTGGCAAATCTTACCCTAGCCAGTCAGAAATACTGGTATACGACTTCTCAATCCATCCATGGATCAGGTATACAAATCATGCATTGCATGGATCCAATGGGAACGAAGAACGTCTTCCACTTGCCCGTAATAAAAAAAGGCCATCGGGGCTGTTGAAAAAAAAATCTGCATGGACGTGGTGCTCTCTCGTCCACTCGCTTCGTCTTTCTGTTCCAGAACACTCCATCGAGTGGTGTGTGTGAGCTGCACCTGGACGGCCTTGCGGCGGTAGGATCCGATATGATCCCCTTTCTCATGGATCATCGATCACCTAATACAGACGACTACTGGATGTCACAACAGGAGCCACACGATCGTGATGACGCATATATGCATGTACATATGCTCGCCTAGCTAGCTTAGCTTTGTGGTTGTGGCCATGAACGAACGGCGAACATCTGGTCTGGTCAGGTCAGGTCAGGTCAGGTCAATCATGCAAAGGATTCGTTTGCTGGCGGCCGGTTGATCGATGCTAACATTCAGAGCGAGCCTGCCTGCATGTGTCAAGCGCAGTCAAGCTGCTTGTGGCTCAGAAATGGTCTGTGCGTGTGCTTGCTTATGAGACAGCTACAAGTTCTGCGTGATAGCAACGGATGGCTGCTCTCAGGTGATGTCACAGGATTACACGGCATTTTAGCGTCTTACATAATAATTGGAAATAAATAAGCAGTTTGCAGCTCAACAGAGACCGAGCGAGTTTGTGGCCCAGACAGCCGCAGGGTATCAAGCTAGCTGTAGGTAGCTAGCATCGCTGAATGCATATAGAAATTGCACTTTTTCGCCTTCATTCAGCTGAATGCATGGCTGTTAGTACCTGATGTGATGGAGACTGTGACAATCAGAAGGTAGCTACTTCCTCTATCCCTTTATATTTGGAAAATGTGCGAGTCAAACTTTTCTCAACTTTAACTAGTTTTGACAAAATAAGAGCCCAACACTTGTATCTCCAAATAAATTTATATTATGAAAATATATTCGACAATCTATCTAATGGTACTAATTATGTACCGTAAACATTAATATTTTCTTGTATATATCTGGTCAAAATTAAGTTCGTTTGACTTATCAGGAATGGAGCAGGTAAAAAAGATAGAGGATATAGGCAGGAGTACACGACTTCCTTTGCTCTAGTTTTTAGCAGCTAGCACTGTCCTGCTGGTCTATGAGTTATCATGTTTGCATCCGTTGATGGTGAAGTTGCATTGCAATGCTATAATGAGATCAATGTGACATATTTGACAGTAGTGTTGCATGTATATATATATACCAGCTACTAGTATAATGGTGCGACCATGGATGCAGCCAGCGTGCATTCTTTTTTGCATACCAAAGTGTCAAAGTTTAGTCCAGATTGTTATAAAACATGTTGCCAGTGGTTAGGACATTTTCTTCTCCGTCTCTCATGATCAACATAGTAGATGAAAGTAGGACACATAGACACAAGAGATAAGGAGACTATTCTTTATTTCTCTAAATATTGATGATTACAACATAGAGCTCCCACATATATATAACCCTGCCAAGGTCTAAGAGTTTTGGTAAGAGCCCACATACAAACGGACTAGGATTAGGATTTCTCCTTCTCCTTTGCTTCTAGGATAGAGTGTATGTTTTACAACACTCCCTATTGGACGATTACCACGATATGCACATGCCTAGTTAAAAACTCCATCCGAAAATCCAGTGGAAAAAACGGTTCTTGAAGGAAAGAGTACATCGCATTCGTTAATTGCATTGAACATATTGTCTCATTAAAAATCTTGCGTGAGAAACCTTGAAGTAAACATTCACATAGAAAAAAAGAGTACAACATTTAACCTTGGTCATGCATTCTTAAGGATATTCTATTCATGAATATGCATAAACTTCAATGTTTTAGCAAATATGATCTACATGATCTTTGTAATTCTAATGGTTTTAATTACCTTCAAGGTAGATTTACTTAAATTGCTCCCCCTCATAAAACCATCCTTTGAACTTCATTGTTCAGTCCACACTTTTTGTCCCGACGGCTTCACGCTCTACCCTCTCCGCAGCCTATACCTCGCCTCCCAGGTACCGATGGCTCCTCTTCTTGCCCTTGTTGTCGCACTGGCCTTGATTTCTGCGTGTCTTGTCTTCTTCACTTCCCCTGCAGTGCAGGAGCTTGGGCGGCGTCCATTGAGCTTAGCTCAGCAGTGGTGTATGACACATCAGTGCACCTAAGGGGTGAGCAGAAGGACGCCAAGCAGCTGCTCAAGGTGAACAGCCTTGCGAAAACATGAAATACTTCCATATTTGTACAGTGTAATTCGCTTTTCTTATTTTGATTGTTTCATGTTCTGTTCTGTATTAGTGTCATAGATTTCTTTAGTAAACACAACCATGAGGACGAAATTGTGAGCTTCACATAAGCCTTTGTGCATACTCTCCTTATTCTAAATTGTTCCATATGATGTTGCGCACGGTGCAGGTAAGCCAGGGCAGAGGGCAGATCCAGCAGGTCCCTGGTCTGGTTGGAGCATCGAAAGCGTGGCTGCACGGACTTCCTCTCCGATCTTCCTTGGTTTGATCCTTCTGATGAACTCCCCATTGAGTATTGATGTGCAAGGTGCCCATTAATTAGCAATATCTGAATCCCAAATATTTTGTTATATTTTGCTCATAGATCTGATGATTTTTTGTGCAGGTGTAGGAAAGAACCGACAAGCAGGAGCACAACTAGCTCATCCTGATGGCAGTTAGAACAGAAGCACCAAATATGTATGATGAATCTCTTTCTCACTGTTCTCTTTCTCGATTTATTTTTGCGGACGATGCAAGGTGTTGTGAGCAAAAGATATCTACTTACAGTATTACACTATTAGTTTAGTTGATTAATCAATCTCTTTCTATTACAATGTTTTGTAAATTAAATGATCATGGATGTGGCAATGCTGGCTAGCTCCACGTTAATTAAGCGATTTCATACTTGGGTGTTTTTCACTATAGAGGTCTGTGTGTAATGCAGCTCTGAAATTAATGTGTCAATTTTTTTTTTTCTTGATTCTAAATCAAATAGCTTTTTTCATGGGCTTGTTGTATCATGCAATCTACAGCTGATAATATTATGCATATGCGCCTTCTTTTTCTTTTGAGTAAACCACACCGTCAACTGAACTTACTCCCCAACCAGGTCCATGGCTGGATGTTGTGCATGATCCAGTGAGGGTACATCCAGCACCCCCTAGTTCAACCATGTTAGTTGAAGACCCCCCTCGTCTACAGGGTGTCAGGGTGAGTGTTGTGTGGCATGGCGAGATCGCCGAAGGCCATAGGCCACACCCAACGGCATCTGGCAGCTATGCCACATCTTCATCACCTTATGCTTTGTGACTGCTTCTTGCTTTGCCTCAGGATAAGCCTTCTGTTAATGTGCCTGTTTTCTTTATTACTGCAGTTATGAGTTGTTTTCATTCACGAAAATGGTACATGGTAATATATGTAATTCCAATAAAATCATCTCAGTTCATGTTTGGTTAGTTTTCTTGCATCCTGACAGCATCTCTTCATAAATTGTGTATATTGAGTTCAGTCCTATTAATCTGGGGCAAGGTTGATCTAATGGCTTCTGTTTTCAGTTATATAGAGATATAACAATTTTCTTTCCATGTCTGTCTTAGATTATTTAGGTAAATAATTTGTGTACTTTCCCTTCCAGTTCATGACTAGACTCTTCAGTTCACAGGCTTAAAAAAGAGATTCAAACTGCTATTTTGGTAGACTTAATCACATTAGTAAAGAACATGGTGTTATGTACTTGGACCTAATCTTCTTTTGCCATTAAAATTGATTATACGAAGAACACATGTTCCTCATTTGTCAGATAAATAGACTTATGTCTCAATTTATTCTTAGTCATAACAAATCATTTTTTAAACCACATATTGGTTCTTGTCTTTGGCCCACAAGTACTTATTACCAAATTTGTCCTTAACCATAAAAATTCATTTGTCAAACCACATATATGGTTCAATCTTAATAGGCCGGTGGTAGATGCCAGTCACTGGCGTTTTGGCAGCAGCTCTTTTGAACCGATTAAATTAAATAAACCAGAAGCGTCAATGGTCCACTTACTGCATTAGAACATCTTGTTAAAGTTTCAGCAATTTTATAGGATGTGTGCGAAGCCAGGAGATTCAAAATGTTCATATGCTAGCATGTTCAAATTTGTTATTAGTAGATCTATTTTAGGATGCTCATGAGATAACTAACGCATAGCGTGTCCATAATTCAGTGAAGAATTACCATTTTATCATAGTGACTGTTCGGTTCAGCTTGCTGCACAGCCACAAGGTTGCAGCAGCAATCACAAAGCGATTGGGCCTTATACTTATTAAGTAATTTGTTAAATTTGTTAATACTTCTAGCCTTTCATTTTGTATGTAACCAATTTAATTTGTACTTAATTGTTGTGCACTAACATAATGCAATATGGGCTTTGTGGAACCTGCATTTGGTTGATACAAGTGCATGCTGTTGTTTGATAAAGTGGCATGGACATGATTGTTTCTTGAATGCATGCACGAAAGCGGGTATTAAATCCAAGAAAAGGGTAGTACATAACAATATTTATTTATGATCAAGCTAAAGTGGTTATGAATAATTTATATTTTATGCTTAACTCACTTCATTTGGAAGATAGCAGGGTTAGATGCAAAAAATTAACCATATGTTCATATTGCAGGCAAGGGATGGCACTGAGTATAGTGGATCAGAAACAAAACGTCATTAATGAACACAAACACAAATAGCAAGGTCAATGTTGTTTGTTTCTCACTTGAAGATCACAATTTAGTAGTTTAGTTCGATGAACACTTGTCTGATTTCATATTATTCAAAATTTTGTTTTTAAAAGGTCTCGTTGCCGTCTAAAAGGCCGCTCTCATGACATGCCCTATGGATTTGGCAGTAGCTAGCAGTCAATCACCAGCTTCCCCAACATCAAAGATGGCGATAGCTATTGGGTATGTTTCTTTGATTGACTCATCAAAACCAAGCTGATCATTTGCATTGTAGCCAAAGCCTTGCCCGTCCACTTAATCTATTCTGACATCTAGTTTTTTTTCCTTTTGCACAAATTACATTTCTTATTTCAGTCCATCAATATCTACTGAAAACACACCAATCTGTGCACAACAAGGCAATCCCTTAACACACGGAACAACTATAACATATGAGGACTAGATAGCGGCTACACAGCCTGCATGCTTTCCCCACAATCGGAAATGTGAAGGTTAGAAATTAATCTTTTATATAATTTTGTGCAAATGCATGCAGGTCTTATCCACACATAACCTTTTACATAAGTATTGTTTCTAGCTAAATATATACTTCTTAGTTTAATAGTTGGAGTTCTTCTACAACCTCAACATCCCTCGTGATTCATGAAACAGAGTAATTTGCTGAAAAGGTGTTTCTGACATTTGCAGAACATTGTGTTGAACTTTAAAACTTTCCGTGGAATATGATTCCATATTGCCGATGTGCAGCAAGAGGTGGGTTTATCGGACATGGCCTTGTGTCATTTGCCATCCACAACTGAATTTTTAATTCTCTGCCACTCTTGACATTTGTACCGTAAACTTCCATTTATTAGATATATACAAAGCTAAAAGTATATTGTTTTGTGTACATATATATTGCACAAGTACAAAGCATTTGCATCAATAACTTACAAAAAATGTACATTGGTTTTTGTGCAGATCCCACTTGGGCACTACTGCAACCACTTGTGGTGCAACACTTGCTGACCATCAATCTGGCCATCTATCAGATGAAGATTTTCTTGGCTGATCTTGATAGGGCAGTGCCAAGAGAAGCCACAATCTTGCCACCTTGGTAAGTTTTATTCCTCGTGTACTCTGTTCCTAGTTAGACCTTATGCCGGTTATTGCTCATTGTGGTTAATCCTAAAAATGCCGCACTTAAGTGAACAGTTCTCGCCGCCACACATTTCTTGAATTGGGCTCTAGTCCACTCCATGCCAACTTATAACAATAGTCTGACAAAGTTCGCCTAAATCTAAGGAATAACAATCACCAAAACAACTTCCTAATCGACCGGATCCTGCTAACAAGCTGTAGGTCATTTGCCAGAGGGTGGTGACCGCGCTCTTGCTTCACACCTCGTCATGGTCCACCACTCAGCCACTGACTCTATTGCGTCGCTGGTAGACTTTGCCGACCATAACACTGTTCTAAAAGTCCACTATAGTCTGAATATTTCTAATCATTTTGTGTATACATACAATACAACACTACCATGTATATATAATTATTTGCTAGTTGGGTGACTCTCTCACTATACTAAATTTTAATTTGATATGCCATGGCCTGAAGGTGGGGAAATATGTTAGATTTTCATTAGCTGGAATGCCTCCATTCTCAGTGTTGTTCCCAACATATGAATTAGCATTGACCAATTTGGATTTACCTTTCATATTCAGTTTGAAGATATTGTAGGCAATTTCAATTTACCTAGCTGGTCCACCTTGCGACTCCGACTGTATGCTCATAGGATTACTGTGTTAAGCAAATTGATTAATCCGGTCTAAAAATTAGGTTCAGTAATTCTTTGCTCACTGAGCTGCTGCGTGGTGCTTCCCTCACCAGCAGCCTTGACCTAGCAAGATCTTGATTAGGCACGCACAACCCTTCTTAGCTAGCACTCTCTTTGTATTTTTACTAATTTTCTGCATTCATCATACTTATGATTCATAAGCCTTTTGTGCTATCGACATACTCTTTAATTTTACTATGACAAATTATGAAGGTTAGCAGGTCATTTACATGCACGATGATCCAAGTCTCTTTGAAAAACTTGGGAATGTGGGAATTAGAGCGCTTTCTCCGCTTATGTCGCATTACTAGATTCACAATTATTGACTTGTGCATTGTTTGCTACAATTATAGTTATATCTAAAGCGAGTTTGTATAGCTTTCAAATTCGTGTGAGTTCATCCAGTTTATTCATATAAATATTGGATCTAGCTCAGTTCATAAGTTACTGGACAGCGGTAGACTGCTTTGTGTTTAACTAAATTTATGCTACCTTTTATATCAGGAATTCCACTGGCTTGAGAGGAAATAAAACAACTTGCATGTCAAATGTTCGCTCAAATGTCTAGCACTGATATATTAACTTTTTCTATAATTTTCTCATATGCATGTTTATGGCTTTATGCAATCTCACACATGCTAGTGACAAGGCCATAAAGCATGCTACAAAAAGCATTTCATATATACACATTGCAAATATCAAAGAATGTTTGTTTCAAAAAAAAAATCAAAGAATGCTTCTTTTCTTTTTCAGACCGTAGGAACCAAACCAGTTTGCTTTAATCTTTGGTTTTGGCATCATGTATGATTGAGTGTATAGTTAGATGGATGATTATAGTTTAATTGCTGAATAAACACTAAAATTTATATCCTAGGCGCCCACCCCATTAGTATGTTCATTGCAGGCATGGTGCTTCTAAGACCGAGGATCTGAACACCCTGCCCCCACCTATGCTAAAATTGTTTTGTCTCGATTGAACATTGTAGTCCGAAGATTTTCAGATGATGTTGGTCTCAACCTTATCCTGTTTATGCAGCCGGGAACAAGCGGAAAGATAGCGAGTGCAGGAGTATGAAACTAGTGTCCTTGATAACTTCATGGCTCTAAAGTTGAGTATTTTGTGGTCTCTCTGGGAAGCCATTTTA